CAAAAATTGAGCAACTATATGCTGCCCTGCATTTGATTCCTGCTTATCTTTCCTCCTTATATTAGAAGGTGCACTGACTCTTGGAAACTTTTTTCAGGTAAGCAAATTAAATTGCCATTTCCTCAAAACAATGCAGTCAGAACAAGGCACAGCAGCACTGTTGAAACTTTTCCCCACCTTTAGTGTAGGACATTAGCCAAAATATAAGTTATCTTCATCTGCATATACTTCTGTACATAGTTGGTGACCATACTGAGCTACTGACCGTGTTAGCACTTAGCACAAGAGGCCGCATGACAAAAACTGTTTTCTGGATTGTCATCACTAGAAGTAGGAGCGATGTATCCCAAATATTTTGTTCATTTAGTACAAACCTGTCTATTGGAGGCAAAAGGAAACTGATAAAATCAAGGCGTTTAAATACTTAAATTGAATGCAATTCTGATGTTCTCTTTATTGCTGTCAACTTGGATCTTTACCGCTGATGTTAGCATGTGCAATGCAATATTTGATATGTCTATTTGTCTATATGCTGTGCAGTGGAATTTTTTCCGGGATTACTCATGTGTGCAGATGTGCGTGTCATTATTATTTATTTCCAGCAAGATAGAAATATTTCCATTTGTAATTTATTTCCTCTTGAGAATAAGGCAAATATCCATCATATAGGTTGTGTACCCCTGACCTGAAGATGATGTGAGTACTACAATGTTCTGAACAATGGCTTCCATGGCCATGGATAGGCACATACAGTACATGCTAAGCTGTTTTGAGTCTTTGTGCTTGTTGTTGCTGATTGACTGGCGTCTGATCTTATCGGGTAGATGAGAGTCAACAGTTGGAGGCGGCTCTTCACCCATTTTTTTGCCCCCTCTCAGCTCAGGGGTCAGTGATCGTCGCACGGCACGACGACGCCATCTCGCACACAAGTTTGACCTCTGCTACTCCGCTGCTGCATGCAGCCACGTAGAATTGACCTCCGCTACTCTGCTGCATGCAGCCACGTAGACGTAAGGGTTGGTGGTGCCTTTATCCCCCGCGGCCGTACAGTACAACTGAGGCTGCCTGCCTGCGTTGCCTGCTGGACTGCACACGGTTGCACCGTGCACGACTGTGCGTACACCAGAGGTGGACCAAGGCACGTAGGGCCAAAACAGCATGCATGGGAACCGAACTCTGAGTCGTGCGTCGTCCTCGTCAGGTGACGTCTCCGGCCCCATCCGACTATTCCTCTCGCATCGTTTGGATCGGCCACGTACGTCAACCATTGCATGCAGACTGCAATGCACCTCTCCCTGAGTCCCTGTATACATGCACGCATTTACGAGGACGACGCACGGATCGATGCATGGCGAGCTCGGCACCAACCACGCACGGCATCTCCAAACCAGACCGGTTTCGGTTTTTGCAAGTGCGCAAACATGCAGGTTCAGTTCAGGCACACGACGACGTTCCACGACACACACGCTCTATATATAGACTGCCATTGCCTACACACTGCCGGCACCCGCCACCATCGTCTTCAGCTAGCTTTGCACTCTCACAAGTCCACCTTTCGATCACAAAGCTTCACTCACAAGTCATAAGTCACAAGTGTTAGCTAGCTCACTAGCTAGAGTAGCAATGGACGTGCAGGTGCAGCGGAGCTTCGTGATACCCGCGCCGGCGTCGGAGCCATCGACGGAGGTGCCGCTGACGGTGTTCGACCTCGTCGCGCCCACCTACCACGTCACGGTGCTGTTCGCCTATGCCGCGCCCAACCCCACCAACGCGGCGCTCCTCGACGCGCTCGCCGCCACGCTCCCGCGATTCCCGCTCCTCACCGCGCGCCTCGTCGCCGACGACGAGCGCCGCCGCCCGTTCTTCGTCACGGGGAGAGGCGGCGCGGGCGCGCTCGTGGTCGAGGCCACGGTGGCGTCCGCGCTCTCGGACCACCTCCCGCTCGCGCCCGCGCCGGAGCTCGCGAGCCTGCACGTGCCGGTCGGCGGTGGCGATGACGAAGCCACGCCGCCGCCGCCGCACCTGCTCATGCTCCAGATCAACCGCTTCGCGTGCGGGGGCCTCGTCATCGCCTCGTCCTCGCACCACTTGGCCGCCGACGGATACTCCATGTCCACCTTCTTCCACGCGTGGGCCGACGCCGTCCGCGCCAGCAACAACGGCGCTACTACTACTAAGCCACCACTCGACGACGTCGGCGGCGGTCTGCTACCACCGCCGCCGTACGGGCCGAGCGCCATCGTGCCGCGCCGCCCGCCGCGGTGCGAGTTCGAGCACCGCGGCACCGAGTTCCTGCGCCCCGAGGACGCGGCCGCCGGCAGGCCTGCGCCGGTCCGGGTGGACCCTTCGGAGATCGCCAACGTGCTGCTGCACCTCCCGAGCGAGTTCGTGGCGGGGCTCAAGGAGAACGCCACCGCGCCGCAGATGAGCCGGCCGTACACGACCTTCGAGACCGTCTCCGCGCACCTGTGGCGGAAGATCACGCTGGCGCGCGGCCGGGCCGACGACGCGTCGCGCACGGCGCTCAACGCCGCGGTGAACGGCCGCGCGCGCCTCGGCGCCGACGACGCCGTGGCGCGGGGCTTCTTCGGCAACGTGGTCCTCACGGCGAGCGCGGCCACCAGCGCCAGGGACCTGGCCCGGGGCACGCTCGCCGACGCGGCGGCGCTGGTCCGCGCGGGCGTCCGCGCGCGCGACCGCCAGTACTTCCAGTCGTTCATCGATTTCGGGAGCTGCACGGCGGCGAGGAGCTGGAGCCCACGGTCGGGGACGACGACAACGTGCTGCTGCCGGACGTCGCGTCCGACAGCTGGCTGCACCTGGAGCTGCACCGCCTGGACTTCGGGTGCGGCGGACGGCTCGCCGGGATCCTGCCAGCGAAGGTCCCGCTGGACGGGGTGGTGGTGCTGATACCCAGCCTGCGAAAAGGGGGCGGGGTGGACGTGTTTGTGGCGCTCTGGGAGAAGCATGCGAAGGAGCTTATGGATATTGCTTACACCATGGACTAGAAATCCATGACAGCATCAGCCTGAGGGATACAAGAGTCTAAACAAACGTGGCGTGGCGACCAAAATTATTACTGCGAATGCACGGGGGTGTCATAAAATTTTAAAAGTTAATAAAGTTTTCTTTGATAAATTCATGCTCCCTTGCCTATGTTGCAAAGTATAGTTCACTTTAGGTTTGTGTTAAGTCAAACTTCTCTGGGTTTAACCAGATTTATTATAGAAGAATGCAACAAGATCAAATTAGTGTCATTGAATTGAAATTTTCATAAAATATATTTTGATAGAGCATTTATTTGAACTTTGTAATGTCAATATAATTTCCCTTAAATTTGATTAAAATTATATAAATTTGACTTATAATAAAACTAAAATAAACAAAGGGAGTAGAACCTAAATCCTCTATGATTAAGAACCCAAGATAAGCAAGCATATCTTCTTCTCTGGCTCATCCACCGAACACTTCTGGTGAAAAATCAAATCTTGCCTAGCGCGTCAATTTACATCCAGCAGAACAAGACTCGATTAAGGCAATGCGATTACAATCCCAAGTTCAATCCTGACAAGTCAAATGAGGTCTTTGTTTGAATGCACTCATCCACCCCAATCTACATATGTTGGGTGATCCACATATGTTAATTAGGTGGATTGAAATAAAAATTAAACTAACTTATTTTATCTCAATTCACTTCAATGCGTGTGAATTAATGTGAATAAGAGTGTAGCCGAACGAACCCAAGGGGTTTGATAGCCTTGTTGCCTTAACCACATCTAGCAGTCATGAAAAGGAGAGGAATGCACGAGCCTTCATTTGATACAACAAGAACGTACACCAGGTGCTTTTTGGGACAAAAAGAAGAAGAAGCCAAGCTCTATACTCAGGTTCTAGCTGGAGTTAAGCATCTAATTTGTCTTCTTAGCTTAAAAAACAGGTACAACATGATAAGCCTTCTTTTTGCGAAAGCAACATGATAAGCCTTCGACGCATTTACGGTTGTTTCTCATGGCTTAAGCTGTTGTAAACTCCAACATTTGCCCTAGCATTATGATGTGTCATGTGTTGTGCAGTCAAACGAATCATATTCTTTTATCCTACAACGAGTCAACGATACGCATCTATAGAGGGAAAAGAAAGAAGCGTGGAGAAGCGAGAAATGATCATTTCATATTTTGGCTAAGAGTTAATTATCCATATCACCGCCGGGTCTAGGATCCGGTGATTGGGTTGCCACTTGTCGGCGTCCAATCCTACTATATAAAATTATTGTAACATATAGACTCAAGAAATCATATTTAATCTATTATTTAGCCATCCGGGCTTATAAAAAAATGTTAGGTCTACCTATTCATATGTCTTAGGGCGTCCCAACAATCATCAAATCGCTAGCTGATTAGGCTCGGTGGGAGGCTCGGACTGACATGGCAGGGTGAAAACGAGAAAAAGGTGAAACACTAGCGACTTGTTCGGCGCTAGCACGGAGCCGGGTAAAAGCAAACGCGGATATGTGTATGTTGCTTTTTTTTACTCTGCCCGCCAATCACAGTATTCAATAGAGAGAGTAATTTACTATTAAATGACATTGACATATGAGTGCATATTTGGTTCGGTCATGTGGCAGCTATCGAAATCGATAGCACCGTTGCGGACGCCATTAGTAAGTAGGGCATCCGAACAGGAGCAAAGGCTAATGGGTGTGAAAATTGGTCTGTCCATTCACGTAATCTTGAACTCTGTGAGCGATCATCGCTAGACTAGTCTTGTAAATTGTAATGCATTGATTCTGGTAATTGGGATTTCATGTTGCACCTTTCTGTTCTCGTGTTGGCACGGGCGCGCGGGTGGAAAAAAAAAGACAGCCGACTCGCACCGGTTTTATGAACGGTTGGACTCGAACCCGACTAGCATCGACTCAGCCGCCACTTCGCCAGTCCTCCCCTCACCTTCTTGCGCCGGAAGAAGGAAACGCCGGCGATTCCGACCCCAACCGGGCGGAGATGGCGGAGCCATCGGCCTCCTCCGCGGTCGCCGCCACCGCGGAGCAGACGGACGCGGAGAGGATGGATGCCCTGGACCGGATGCTCACGCGCCTGGCCCTCGCCGACGACGCGCGCCTCGCGCCGGTGCTGGCCCGCGTCCTCCCCTACGCGGTCACCTCGCTGGCCTCCCCTGCTCCGGCCGTCCGCAAGCTCGTAAGCGCACCGCTCTTCCCCCTTCTCCTCCAGCACTTATCCGATCCGAATTTCAGTAAGAGACGTTCGTGCCGCTCGTCCTATTTCCCTCAGTTGGATCAGTTGTATTGCTCATGGGGTGACATGTGAGAGAGAATTTTTAGGTTCGGGCGTGGTACAACTGAGAGCGTTCTACCTTATGTCTGCGGCAATTGCTTCTATTGGTTTGTTCACAGGGAAATTGCTTGTATTATTAGTGGCTGGCTCATACAATTACGCGATTAACACATTATTATCTGTCAGTGGCGGAGCTTGATGGTGAAACTTGTGGGCAAAAAAGTCAAACGAACTATAATTTGGAACGGATTTAGTAACTAACAAATGCCCCCATGCGTTTATCAATTCAATCCAAACCTGTTCACGAGCTGCCCTGCTACTAGTAATCACTAATCAGTACTATATTTTTTGGTTTAAGTTTTGTATGGGCCTTTCTAATGTTATGTGGTTTTATTTTTGGGTTTCATTAGGTTATGGAAATTCTTAGTCACATTAACAAAAGGGTGAAGCACAGGCCTGAGATTTCATTGCCAATGCTGGAGTTATGGAAGATCTATACTGAATCTACTTCCGCAACAATGGTCCGAAACTTTTGTATCGTATATATTGAGATGGCGTTTGAACGCCTGCCAACCGAGGTACTCTCTTTTCCTTTGCTAGTCTCTAGTTTTCTCTAGAGTTGCTTCACCATTTCTGCAAAGTTGATTGTGTCAACTTACCATTCTGTAACAGGAGAAAGGGAACATCGCACCTGATCTTTTAATCAATATATCAAATGTTCCAGCTCAGCATCAAGGGATCATCTTGAGACTTGTAACAAAGGTCAGTCATGCCCCTAGTGGAGTGATCACCTTTTTATTGGACGTCTTGTAAAGTGTTGTTTGTATCATCCTTTTTTTTTTCCCTTTGTGTGTCTACATTCTGTAGCACTTGCATGTTTTTTCCTTACAAAAATTTGCATCTATTATTGGTCAGGCTATTGGCGAATGTAACACCCATAAGGTGGACGAGACTATTGCGTCAAAATATCGAGTAATAACTGAAACCAAGGATGGTCTAGTATTTGCTGAATTCTGTTTTCACACATTATTGTATCAAGCACCACCTCAAGGGTACGTATTCCTTGCTAAATTAGGTAAAACCATAGAACACAATTTGAGCGTCGGACATTTGACTGCTATTGAATTGTACAGTAGTGGATGCCCAGCAGGACTGTCAGTTGTCCAATCAGAACGTGTCACTGGAAAACAAGCCCTAAAAATTGACGTACTTGCATCAAGAAAGGTAATTAAAAATGTGTAATCATGTCTGCACAAGTGCACTTACATATTTTAGTTGTTACTACCTGCACAATGCGCTTGGTCTTCTCATGGTTGAATTTCTTGTTCAATCTCTTCAGCTAGGAATCTTGAATGTCATTGAAGCTATGAACTTCGCACCTGAGATTGTGTACCCTCTTTATTTATCTGCTTCTTCAGATAGGTATTCTATTTTAGAATTTTGTCTAAAATATGTTGGAACTTTTACGTGGACCGATAATCATGCTAACCACTATCTTAGTACAGCCAAGAGCCAGTTTCTAAGAAAGGAGAAGAGTTCTTAAAGCGCAAAGCTTCAACAGTAAATTTAGAAGATCCGAACCTTATCAAGAGACTGTTCACACTGTTCAATGGTATGTACTTTGCATTTTCTTGGGTTTTGATCATTGCGGTTTAAATTTCAATTAGAGTACTGTCACTATGTTCGTCTCTTGCCATCTATGTGGTGTGTTATAGTCTGAATACTTAGATGCGTTTCTATCAATTGGTGTTGTTTTAATTGTGGTTTCATTTCTTTTTACGTGTTGGTTTTTATGGTCCATTGGAGAGAATGCATATGTGAGTGGATGATTGCAAACCTGTTCTCATGATTATGCAGCCCTTCTTGAACTCCCAAACCCACCTGTCACAAGTACCCATACAGATGCCTACATATGTCCACACAATTGGCTGCCCACTGACATGGTTGATTGCCAGCACATGCATAGTTGAATGCTGTGCGCACTTGTGTGGGCACTTCGTATTCTTCTTTGCCATTAAGAATTTGATAGTTCCATTGCATGTGACCCCTTTGTGTTTTTATCTGTCACTTTGTATCTAAATATTTTGTGGTAAGTCTTGCTCCATGATAATGTTCTCTTGTGAGACAGGTACTGTGGGTGCAGAAAATATAGCTGCAGAGCTGAAAGTGTCCCCAGCACATGCTTCGTTGCGTATGCGGCTTATGAGTGTTTTCTGCCGATCAATTGCTGCAGCAAATGCATTTCCACACACACTTCAATGCATCTTTGGCTGCATCTATGGTATTCTGTTTTGTACCCCACCTTTTTTTAGTTTGCGTTTAATTGGTCTTATCCCTTCTGATGCCTAATTGTTACATTGTAATAAGATTGGTTGTTAGTAACTGTAGTTTTCCATACTTTATATTTATATCATTAATGAGCTGCATGTCTATGTAGGCCACTGAAATGTTTTTCCAATGTTTTGTTGTTTTGAAAAAAATTCCTTTTCTTTTGGTGCCAACGTCTTTCTCAAAAAAAAAAAAAAAAAAAAATACTCCACTAATTTATGGGAAGAATGTAACCTAGTAACTTTTGTCTTACTGAACATAGATTTGTATTGAAGATGAAGCTGATTTTTTTGGTTGATGTTTCATTGTGTTTTTGTTTTCTACCCTAGTCATATGGAATAAACTGCAACATCTTACACAACACTACTTTAATCAAGGATCATGGTCAACTGAGATTCAGACATTTTATTAATTCTGCTCAAGGATCATGCTCATTGTGGTTCCAGAAAGCATTTCTGTTGGCCTCGATGAGTTAGTGTTTGGTCTTTGTTGTTCTTAATGAGATTATGCACTGGCATTTCGAACTCATATTTCTGTGAACCTATTATTACTAATAACTCTGTCTCCCCATTCTTACATTTCATTGTTGGTAGAACCATCCTTTTGCTGTTTCGATAAGATAATAACTTGTTGGTAGAACCATCCTTATGCTGTTTCGATAAGGTAATGACTTAACTTCACCATTTTGGTATGTTACTAAATCCTTCTTATCTTTCATTGTGTTTCGCCTGTAGGAAGTGGAACTACTTCAAGGCTGAAGCAGTTAGGAATGGAGTTCACTGTCTGGGTTTTCAAACATGTATGTATGTGCACTTCGCATGTTCTAACAAGGAGTAGCTTAACTTCTAGAATTAGCGACTTATTCTGTTGCTTTTAATTTGGCCACCTATGGTAATTCTTTTGCTCCATTTTTAAACTAATATAATTTATGATGTAATTGTTAATTTAGGCAGTAACTGACCAGCTAAAGTTAATCGGTCCAGTTATACTAAGTGGAATATTGCGCTCCCTTGATGGTTCTTCGACTGCAGAAACAGGTCTTTCGACTATTTATCAGCTTTATCTATTCAGATCTAAATGTGGTTTATCTTTTTTTTTTATGGTTTGTTGAGATAATTGTTGATGGCCAAATTTCCAATATTGAAATGATTGAAAACATTGAACATGTGTTGATTTTCTTCTCCTCCAGATTCTACCGGTAGAGATACCAAAATATTTGCATACCAGGCTATTGGTTTGCTTGCCTCTCGCATGCCAAATTTATTCAGGCATGATATTTTCTTAAAACTTTCTTGGCTCTTGTTTCATTTATGTTATATTAAGGAATGACATTTCTACCTCTATTATATTGCAGTGATAAAACTGACATGACTATACGCCTCTTTACTGCTTTGAGATTGGAGGATCAATCTCTTCGTTTGACAATTCAAGAGGCGGCTACTTCCCTTGCTACAGCATATAAGGTAACTCTGGAGAGCATGTTGGCATGTTGCTTTCTAGTTTTCTACAAAGTGTGCTTCACAAAGATGATTTTAAATTGTAATTAATTGATCATTTATACAGTAATTTTTTTGGTCTAAATGGTTGATGCAACTTGTAAATGCTAGATTATTGTAAATGGTTGATGCAAAGAAGTCCATATTAAAACCTTTTGGAGGCAAGGAGACTTCAAAATATGTCTAGGCAGTTTCCATTTTTGAACTTCTGATCTACTCTCAGAGACCTTACCTAGTTACCTGAATAATTAATATGGTTACTTTGATAATACTTAGGTCCTGTTTCGATGTTGTAGTTTTTAGAGACCAGAGATGTGCAAAATCACTGTTTTGCAAAAAGATGTCTAGAGTAGAATTTCTAGAACTCCAAAAGGCTACAGTTTTAGCAGTATCATGTTTTTCAATACTACAAGGTTTGTTGTATGCAAACACCTCAAAGTTTTCTGAAACTAATGTATTTCGTAAAACCATTGTATTTTTTTTCGTCTAAGGGCCTGTTTGGGTGACATAGTTTTCGCAAACTATGGTATCATAAAACTGTGGTTTTATAAGCCAAAGAGACACAAAACCATGGTTTAGAAAAAAAGGTCATGAGTGGAGTTTTCAAAACTCCAAAAAGACTACAGTTTTAACAAAACCATGGTTTTAGAAACTATAAAGTTTATTGTATCCAAACACCCAACAGTTTTTGAAAACCAAAGTATTTTCCAAAACCATGGTTTTTCTTCAATACTTTGTATCCAAACATGGCCTAAAACTCCAAAAAATACTTTGCATCCAAACAGGGCCTTAGGGTTCACAATTACATATCAACCCAGGGTCATTTCATGTGTTCAATACATTAGAATGTAATTGATGCTTATCTAGCAGGACATTTTAGTGTTTCACACAAAAAAGGATATTTTAGTGTGCACATAAGATAGAAACAACATAAAACACAGATTTTCTATCATCCAGAACCAATAGCAATTGGGTACTGTGTTTTCATTTTGCAACATTTTTTGCATAGCTTTGTTCTATTTGCTGCATCATGGCTTTACCATGGTATCTATGCATCTCATTTTTCTCTAGCTTTAATTAGAGAATTGTCAGTTAAGTTTATTCTTTTTTTTCTTGACCTTGATATCAGCGTGCTTCAACGATAGTATTGAAGGATCTTGAGGCGCTTCTTCTGGAAAATTGTGAAGCGGTAAAGTTGTTCTTAACATCATAGGTTCTCAAACCACTATTGTGCTAATCCTTTGTTCTCAACATTTATATATGGTTTCATCGTTGGTGATAGTTTTGAATGCAAATAAATTTTAGTATGAGGGCCGCAAGTTCAAAACCTAAGTCCTTGCTTTAGGAACTTGAAGGAAGGCCCATGCTCCATTTGGTAAACAAAAGTGCAATTATTCAAAACAATCTATAAAGCTCATTACCTGATGTATCAGGTGAATATTGCAAAATAACCAAGTAATTTTATCCAGGGTTATTGACCATGGTGCAGTGGTGAGAGCTGTCTCACTGAGTCACCAGGTCACGGGTTCGAAGCAGCCTCTCCGCAGATTTTGCGGGGGGAAGGCTTGCCTCAGTTTTTCCCTTCCCCAGACCCCACTCATGTGGGAGCCTCCGGCACTGGGTCTGCCCCCCTTTTTATTGACCAATTCATGCGAATAGAAAAGCACCTTCTCTTCACCAAATCAGTTTGATTTTCTGAATATGATATTTCGATTTAGATTCATTCCAGCCACTAGTACTATTAAAGTATTATGCAAAAGAAGTTAAAAGTTCAAACAGCTGGTCTCAGAACAAATTTCTGGCCAAGTTTTTACTTCAAATAACCATGCCAAATTTTTAGTATTAGGAGAGGTTTAAGATTTTAGTTTTTAGTCTGAGATATGCTCATAGCCACCTAGGCAAGAAGTCAGATTTTTTATCCTTCAACTATGGCTCAAATTCTCAGTTTAGATCTCATATTTGGAGTCGAAACATAACTTTTTCCCATCCTTTTCTAAGATCACAAGTGCATTCATATCTCATGTACAGCCTTGAGAACTTATCGCTGATGGCTTACTTTGTCATACTTTCTATCTGCGGCAGTTTTTATGGGGTGGCTATTTTTCTTGTGGTTTTGGTGATACTTGAAACCAGGCTTCCAGCAACACCTGTTTTTATTATATGTAGACTAATTATTCCCAAATTGCAATATCTTATCATCTCTAAGGGCCTAACCAAAGGATTTCTATGCTCTTATTTTAAATTTTGCATAATTGCTTGATCTTACACATTTTTGTTATAGAATTTTTTGTATTTTTTCTCAATAAAGGAGCAAAGTGAGGTTCGCTTTTCTGCAATTAGATGGGCAACAACATTATACGATCGCAGCACTGTTCAAGCCGGTACATTTGCATGATTGGGGCTTCAGATGTTAAACTGGACATAAGGTTGGTTACAAAAGATATTGGATATACATTATTTTGGCATAATGCTTTGATGTTGTGGTTGCTTTTCTGTACTATTATAGTAGCGCGGTCACAGGTAGCTCCATATACTTTATAGTCCACATCACTTGGGAAATATATATATTTTCAGAAGTTTCCAAACATCAAATGTCCCAACATTGTTGATGCTTTTAGTATTCAACAACAACAACAACATAGCCTTTTCAGGTCCCAAGCAAGTTGGGGTAGGCTAGAGTTGAAACCCACTAAGAGCCCCAAGTCACGGTTCGAGGCACTTCAATAGCTGCTTTCCAAGTACTCCTATTCAAACATAGATCTCTAGGTATATCCCAAGCTTTCAAATCTCTTTTATTGCCTTCCCCATGTCAATTTCGGTCTTCCTCTACCTCTCCTCATATTATTAGCTTGGCTTAGGACTCCACAATGCACCTTTGGTGCCTCTGGAGGTCTCCTTTGGACATGGCCAAACCACCTCAACCAATGTTGGACAAGCTTTTCTTCAATTGATGCTTTTAATATTCATTATAACTTTTTCTAGCTACGTATCCATGTAATTAACCATAAGGTTCACTCATTTTGTAAAAGTTGCCCTATTGCTATGCATGCTTAACTTTATATCCTGCAGAGTGCAGGCCATATTGGCATTCTTCTCTTTTCCTATACAGTATTCATGCGATTAGCATTTTTTTTGGAATTGCAAGTTGAATATAAAGACTTCATTGTCATTTTGTGAGGAGGTGATGCTGTATATTATCATAGACTTGTAGTTATACTTGTCACTTATCAGTCAGTAAAACCATTAGATTGAATTCAGATTGTGAAATCTGCTAGATCAATAACTGTTCACCTGACTCAATTTCATAAACCCTTTTGCTACACTCGACAAATGTTTCTCATGTCCTTTAGATGGATGAAAGTAGCAACGTCCTTCAGTTCTGACATTTTCAAATGACTTGAGAATAATTGGTGATCTTGCTTTGGCATTTGGTACAATACATTTTTGCGAACAAGAAATTCTCGATTATGATGCTGATACTTCAGCAGATTTTATCAATGCATGCCTTTTTTTAACTTGTACATGTTTGGCCATCTATGTATCCTTCTCTTATTAGTTCTGTTGTCACAGGAAATGGCTCTAGCTGGTCTAAATCTTATGAATGATGGGAGGCAATCATCTGCAGGGTCTGGTGATTTCAGCTATCCTGATGTAAAGGAGATGATAAATTATATCTGCTGTCAGCGACCTCAGTTGCTGCATTCTGATGAGCAGAGAAATGGAAAATTACTCTTCCCTTCAAAAACATTTGTTTCAATGATCAAGTTTCTGATGAAGTGCTTTGAGTCTAGTGATAGCTCAAATCTTTTGCAAGATCCATCTGATTCTGCTGTAGCAAAATGTGTGTCATCTTAGAACATGCCATGTCATATGAAGGGTCTAGCGAACTGCATGCGCTGGCCTTGAAGTCATTGGTTGACCTTTCTTCTCGTGAGCCAAAGGTTTCCATTTGGTGCCGTTTATTAAAATAAACTTCATGTTTTCCTTTTCCTCAGATTTTTTTTAAACTTGCACTTTATACTTGCAGTTGGTGTCATTGCGGTATGCAGAACGCATAAATTGGCTAAGAACTCTTTTGGGTCATGTTGATTCTGATGCTCGTGAAGCTGCATCATGCCTGCTGGTATTATTGCTTCTTCAGCTCTTTCAACCTCTTCTGCACTAAGTCTTCTGTCTGAGCTCACTTCAACACTGAGTCAAAACCGTCCATCAAGGTATGAAAATGAAAACTTTAAGACTGACATGTCCTTTGTGTTGCCACACAACTTCTGATTCATGTGACTATTTGATGAATTTGGCCAGATTTGAAAATTACCATGGAGTTCTGTGTGCGATCGGGTACCTAACAGCTGGTGCTTTGAAGCAATCTTATGTATGCTCATTTTATTCATCTCCTAACTTTGTAGCTTGTTTACTGATTTCATTCTCTGATGTGTTTTTATCTGAAATTTGGCATGGTCTCTTAGATTGCTCTGCCTTGAAACTGCATCTTGAATATACTTATCATATTTGCTAGAGTGACTTGATATTGATACTGTTAGAATTATGGTCCATGAGAACCTGTATGTTACTCTGGTATTGGTAGTTGCAGAGAGAAATCGAGTAACATGTGGCAGAATGTATGTTTATCTAATATGGGGAAGGAAGAGAGTAACACTTTTCTTATTACAAGTCAAAATACTTTATATTGGGAGATTAAAAGGAAGTACGAAGAACACATTTCTGATTTATTTGTGTCACATCAATATTTGATTATTTTCTCAAAACAATAGAAGTACAGAACATTGCTAGATTTCTTTTTTAAAAAAATTCTCTCATATTCTTCATCTACACTTTATTGAGCATCAATGCTTGGTTGTGCAAGTCAATAGATAGCTTTGCTAAACATTACTCCCTCCTTTCCAAATTATATGACGTTTTGGCTTTTCTAGATTCTAGATACATTGTTTTTTATATGTATCTAGACATAGTGTATAGCAAAGCTACATATTTAGGAAAGCCGAAACGTCTTATAATTTGGAATGAAGGAGTATAGCACTCCTAGAAAGGGTTGTTTGAATCCCGTCACACGCACACTTTGGGCTGGTGGTAGAAGAAGTTGAGCACAGCACACTCACGCACAGCAAGTGCAGCAACTGAACTGAACTAGGACTGCTGCTGCACTACACTTTGATAGAGATGGAGGAGGCTGTTTGTGGCTGCTGTAAGCGGCAGCTTGCTGGTGCTTCCTACCTCTTATTTATAGCTGAAAGTGACTACATACAACAGCCCTAGTGGCTTTTTTACAAACTAAGAAAAAAGACCTTGACTTGTAGTAAAAAACTTGGTCTACACTTGCTTGCAGCCTTTTCTGGGCAGCAGCAGATTATCTTACAAGGGTGGCCTATTAGTGTTGGAAGCAAGGGCTATAACTGCACAACTGTAGAAGAAATATCTGCACCATCACCCCATAAGTAACTGCCCCTAGCGTCAGTGAGCCAAAACTATAACTTTTTTTCTTGAACATGCAGGAGAGCTGCATATCATTATATTAAGAAGAGAGAAGCGGTTTGAACTTTGGAGAAATCTTAACACACACCCACTCACTCCTAGGCTTACGAAAACAGATGCGCTAGTGCTAGAAGGGAGCCAAAACTATAACTGGACCTGTCTGATAGGTGTCTAATTTTATGTTTTGGATACTTGTGCCCACTTCACAAGTTTGACTGCCTATGATGCAATTAATTTGGCTGCCATCATGTGGCTTAGAAAACTTTCTTCCTAACACATTATTTTTATGAATGCAACTAATTTGTATGTTTTTCAATTGAAGTTTTTAATTTGTTGTATTTGGAGTGCATATGCAGATATCTGAGGATATGGTAAAAAATGTAGTTGATAGTCTTGTAAAAGTAGTTATCTCTGAAGGTTCGACATTAGCATCTGTTGCTATGGAATCTCTTGGTCACATTGGTCTGCGTTGTGCATTGCCTTCCATCAACCAAAACTCTTCTACAGGTTAAACTTGTTAATCAAACCTATACTGCTTATGAGTTGTGCTATTCACCATCTATGATGCTATTTATTTTAATTATTTTTTCCTTCAGGTACACTATTAAGCGTTCTCCGTGAGAGGCTGACTAAGCTTCTTTCTGAAAATGATACTAAAGCTCAACAGAAAATTCTTGTATCATTGGGGCACATATCTTGGAATGAGATCTCCTTTCCTCACCTGAATGATGCATTAGACTTGATTTTTAGTCTTTCACGTTCTAAGGTAGTGGCACAAAAATCCAAACTTTGCAGCTAAAATATTACCACTATTCTTTGGAATAAATAATAACATTCTTAAATTATGCTTGTTCAGGTGGAAGATGTACTTTTGCTGCGGGGGAGGCTTTATCTTTCATATGGGGAGAAGTTCCTGTGACAGCAGATGTGATACTGGAGACGAACTTTGTTTCCCTTTCCCAAGCCACAAACTATCTTACCGGTGATGCATCTCTAGTCTCGAGTAACTCCAATGAAAAAAGTGGTTGTGAAGAAGCACACTCAGTTGCACGAGAAGAAATTATTAAAAAGTTGTTCGAAACACTAATTTATAGCAGTAGAAAAGAAGAACGCTGTGCAGGTACTGTCTGGTTGGTCTCACTGACGATGTACTGTGGCCGACATAAAAAAATCCTAGAACTACTTCCGCAAATCCAGGTTTGTCAACCAAAGTATAAGATACCTAGATTATTAAGGTGACCTTTGTACATTTTTAAACTTTTCTCTAAACTGCCTCAGTGCATTAGAATCTGTAATCATTATACGGTGATGTCCATATGGTATTTTAGTGCCAGTAATCTACAGTGATTTAGGCATGGAAGCTAACTTTGAGTAGAAGTACATTAGATGTGTACCCCACTTAAAAACTGAACTAACTTTCGATTCATTTTGGGTGTTCTTACTAGGGTTTATGTGCCAATCTATGACTGTATTTCAAAATTGCGATTTCCTGTGGTGCCAAAAAATAGACATAGGGTATCTCACCTTTTGATTGAAGTGAGCTGAACTTCTTATGCATATACTGGTGAAATATACTTCTTTTCTTCAGCTAGCACAGTTGTTGCTTGGAGGATATAGGTCACCTTTAGTTTTAGTTTAGTCTAATAATTGATTGCTTTATTTGTTCAGATAGTCATTTAATGTTCCCACCAGAGTTCTTCCTTCTTTATTGACAAAAAAATGTAAATTTCATTTCTTTCATGAGGAGGCCCTTTCACATCTTCTTGGTGATCCAAATGAGCTTACGCAAGATTTGGCATCTCAAGGCATGAGTATTGTGTATGAGCTTGGTGATGCATCTATGAAAGAGGAGCTGGTTCATGCTCTGGTGAACACACTGACTGGCACTGCAAGAAAGAAAAAAGCCATTAAGGTTCATAATTTTTCTCAATTATATATTTTTTCCTTAGTTGATAATGTTTCATCCGAAGGTAATTATGTTTTATGCACTTGCATTAGTTGATGGAGGATTCGAGGTCTTTCAAGATGGCACAATTGGCAATAATCCTACTGGAGGGAAACTTAGCACGTACAAGGAGCTGTGCAGTCTTGCCAATGAGATGGGGCAACCTGACCTGATATACAAGTTCATGGATCTAGCTAATTATCAGGCTGCTCTCAATTCTAAAAGGGGTGCTGCTTTTGGATTTTCCAAGATAGCCAAACAAGCTGGCGAGGCACTTCAACCTTATCTGCATACCTTAATTCCTAGGCTTGTCCGTTACCAACACGACCCTGATAAAAACATCCAGGTATCTAAGTTTGCACACTCATCACCATATGTGCCATTTTCTATGTTTCCTTTTTATTGGACTGAAATTAAACTGTTTGGTTGACGAATGTACTCTTGTAAAACTACTTATAACCATGTAATATAGTTAGTATGATGTTTCCATTCTTTTCATATGAGAAAGTAAGAAGCTGATGTGCTAAGCAAGTAATGCATCAAACAGCTCGACTAGTTAAGCATAACTTGACATTGATTTCCTTAGTTTAGTACATTTAAGTTATGCATGTTTATATGCTGGTTTATTAAGGCACTACGATGGCTTTCAGCATTATAACTAAACACTCTGTTTCCACATTGTGTTAGTTATGCTATACTGTTGTACTCCCTCCAGATTGGTAAAAGAAGTTGTTTTGGACAGCGACACGGGCTCCAAAGCATAACTTTGACTTCCTATTTTTATAAAAATATTTATTGAAAAGTGATATATGTGTATTTTTATGAAAGTATTTTTCAAGACAAATCTATTAATGTGGTTTTCACATTTTCAAACTCAGAACAACTTAAAAGTTATTCATGATTTATATTCCCAATGTTTGACCCAATCCTTGTCCAAAACGACTTCTTTTACCAACCTGGAGGGAGTATACTTTTCTATCCTGTAATCAGATTGCAGATAAGATTTCCTCGTGTTTTTCTTGTTGTTGAGAAAATTTATATTAAATTTATTTAAACACTGCACGGATTTTGCATTATAACTCATTGAGATTAGCTTTATACCACAATAATAGTTTTCTAGTAGTCCTCCCATGCACAATCATAGTTCCAGAAATCATTATTTTCAAGCATCCTTTACTGTGACTAGCAAGGTTTTGGTATAATGAACATCCATGCAACTAGTGCTTGAAATTAAGTAAAATGTGGCCTTGGAACTCAGATCAGAAAAATAGACCAAACATATCTACTGATGAGTAACTGATATACATGTCAGCAGCCCTCTTATCCTTAAGAGGGCCCCTCTCAGCCATCAGTTATTGCACTGTTTTCTGGTTGTCATTGATATACAGCAATAGGTTATCTTATTGCGTTCATATTTCTTAATAAGCTCATAGAGCCTTTCCTCGGAGCTAATAATTCCAGCTGCGCCTTTTAGGATTCAATGGCACACATCTGGAAGTTAATTGTTTCAGATCCGAAAAAAGCAATAGATGAACATTATGATGCCATAGTAGAGGATCTATTGGTTCAATCTGGATCGAGGCTTTGGCGCTCACGAGAAGCATCCTGTCTTGCACTTGCAGACATCATCCAAGGCCGAAGATATAGTCAGGTAACATTCATGGTGTTATAGAAATTCTGAATAGCTCAATATTTCATTTGACATGAGCTATATTAAAGTGTTTGTATGAATCTGACTTTGGATTTCTTTTAAGAACAATTACAAGTCACCTTTTTATTTGTTCTTTAGGTTTGTAAACATTTGAGAAAAATATGGACAACCACCTTCCGTGCAATGGATGACATAAAGGAAACTGTGCGAACTGCTGGTGACAGTTTGTGCCGAGCCGTAAGCTCATTGACAATTAGGCTCTGTGATATATCACTAACTTCTACTTCTGATGCAAACGAAACAATGAACATTGTGCTGCCATACTTGCTTTCTGAGGGCATACTCAGTAAAGTTCCAAGTGTTCAAAAAGCTGCTATTAGTTTGGTCATGAAGCTTGCTAAGGTATATTGATGGTAAACTTTAACAAGTCTAGTTGCAATATCTGCCATAATGAGTTATATTGAAACCATGTGATATTTCACCAAATTCGATGATTTTTTTCTCTAACAATTGTGTTTCAACTCTAACATACTGACCACTGAGTGAACAATAGATCATAGAACTTTATATCTATTCATATCCTAATCAAACATTGAAGTTCCTCAAGGTGGTATCGAAGAGAAACTTTCTATTACCTCTACTTTCTAAGCAATTTCATATGTTTATTCCACTTGAACTTATATAAATTGCAATTTCTCCAGTTCCTTGTTTGGATGCCAATAGCCTAATGCAGCATTACCCTTGTTGTACGAACATTATTATTTGAAAACACGAACAGGATTGTCATTTTTATGTGGTTGGCACTTGGCCGAATGCCTCAAGAGTATTCTAACTTCTTTCTTAAAGTAAAGGAACAGAGAGCCCTAGAATTTGTTAAGTAATGTTACGAAAGGAAACGAATCAAAAGGAAAGAAACATGAAAGGTTCTTACTACTGCAGGCAAAATAAAATTACTACTTTGCCTATGCACAGACTACAGCTTCTAGTTTCTCTGCTTATGTAGATGCCATCACCAAAATAATTAACTAAAGAGATGTCTTAAGCTCATGGCTTCCTGATGTCTTCAGGGTGCTGGTCCTGCCCTTCGTCCTCATCTGCCAGAACTTGTTAGTTGTATGCTTGAATGTTTGTCAAGTCTGGAGGATCAAAGGTTGAATTATGTTGAGGTATGCTAATTTTCCCCACTTCTATAAAGACTGATGGTGATGATGTTTGCGTGTATATCCGACAGATGCAATATTTTACTCACTCCTGCCTTTGGATCAAAGATGCATGCAGGGAATGTTGGCATCAAAACTGATAAGCTTGAAAGCTTCCGTATAGCTGTGGCTAAAGATTCTCCAATGTGGGAAACTCTTGATATCTGTATAAAAATTGTTGATAAGAATTCACTTGATCTATTGGTTCCTCGCCTGGCTCAAATGGTTAGATCAGCTGTTGGCTTAAATACAAGGTTAGGATGGCATGTACAATCTTATTCATTATATCCTCAAATGCTTCATTTCTCACTACTTCAATCATGTGGTATTGTTCATTTCTGTCTGATTCCAGGGTTGGTGTTGCTAGCTTCATAACCTTGCTGGTGCAGAAGGTCATGGTTGATATCAAACCATTCACACCAATATTACTGAAGTTATTGTATAGTGCTGTTCTGGAGGAAAGGAGTTCTGTCGCTAAAAAGGCTTTCGCGTCCTCTTGTGCAACTGTTTTGAAATACGCTAGTCCTCCCCAGGCTCAGAAGCTTATTGAAGATACTACCTCTCTGCATTCAGGTGGGAAAAACGATCAGTTATCTGGTGCAATTCTTATTAAAGCCTACTTGAGCAATGCATCGGATATTCTTGGTGGATATAATGCAGTGGTTATCCCTGTAATTTTTGTGTCGAGGTATGTGAAGGACACATTTATCTACCTTGCATTTTCTTGATTCCTAGTGTTTCAAATATTCATAATGCCTTCAGTTTAGTAGAAATACAGAAACCTTTCCATGTGTATAAACGAAACTTTGTTTCAGGTTTGATGATGATAAAGACACCAGTGCTTTATATGAAGAACTTTGGGAGGATATTCCTACTAGTGAAAGAGTAACCCTAACACTATATTTACCAGAAATTGTATCTCTTTTATGTGATGGCATGTCATTGTCATCATGGGCTGGTAAAAGAAAGGTACAGTCCTATTTCATAATTTGCTTTTCCATATGCATATCAGATAATAATAGTTAAAAGTCCTGTACCTTGTAATATACTTACTGTACAGCCTTCTCCTTCCAGTCAGCCAAGGCTATAAAGAAGCTATGTGATATTCTTGGAGAACCCCTATCAGCACACTACCAGAATATTCTCAAATCACTTTTGAAAGAATTGCCAGGTCGATTCTGGGAGGTAATTCACACACTCATTCATTTGTTCATGGAATGATAAGTGGATTGTCTGCTTATACATTGTTTTGGAAATTTATCCATGTCTTGGTTGTTGGTACATAATTAATTTTGTTCCCTTACATTTTTCAACAGGGAAAAGATGCTATTCTGGACGCATTGGCTTCATTGTGTTCTTGCTGTCATGTTGCTATAACTGCAGAAGACTCCAGCTTGCCAAGTGTTATACTAAATGCTGTGTGTGCTGCGTGCAGTAGGAAATCAAAATTGTACCGTGAAGCAGCCTTCTTGTGTCTACACAAAGTATTTTTCTTCAATTCTCACTTACTTTTGGAACCCATTTTCACTAGCAGATGCTGTAGTGTTATTTTTTGTTGGCCAGCGTTTTCTTTAGTGGACCAAAATTTTCTTTAATAAAACAAATTTTAACTGTTGCAGAAATGTACCTTTTAGCATCATGCTAAAGATTTACTAGATTTTTTCTTGAGGGTGTTAACTTATTTTTCCATTTTTCTGACTGCAAGGTTTGCAATGATATAGCCTTTTAGATACTACAACAACAACAACAACAACAAAACCTTATAGTCCCAAACAAGTTGAGGTAGGCTATAGTTGAAACCCAGCAGAAGCAATCAAGGTTCAGGCACGTGAATAGCTGTCTTCCAAGCACTCCTATCTAAGGCTAAGTCTTTGGGTATATTTCATCCTTTCAAGTCTCCTTTTATTGCCTCTACCCAAGTCAACTTGGTCTTCCTCTCGCCTCTCTTCACGTTACTATCACGGCTTAGGATTCCACTTGCGCCTACCGGTGCCTCTGGAGGTCTCCGTTGGACATGTCCAAACCATCTCAACCGGTGTTGGACAAGCTTTTCTTCAATTGGTGCTACCCCTAATCTATCACGTATATCATCGTTCCGAACTCGATCCCTTCTTGTATGACCGCAAATCCAACGCAACATACGCATTTCCGTGACACTTATCTGTTGAACATGTCGTCTTTTCGTAGGCCAACATTCTGCACCATACAACATAGCAGGTCTAATCGCCGTCCTATAAAACTTGCCTTTTAGCTTCTGTGGTACCTTTTTGTCACATAGGACACTAGATGTTTGCCGCCACTTCATCCACCATGCTTTGATTCTATGGCTAACATCTTCATCAATATCCCCGTCTCTCTGTAGCATTGATCCTAAATATCGAAAGGTATCCTTCCTAGGCACTACTTTTCCAAACTAATATCTTCCCCCTACCGAATAGTAATGCCGAAGTCACATCTTATATACTCAGTTTTAGTTCTACCGAGTCTAAAACCTTTGGACTCCAAAGTCTCCCGCCATAACTCCAGTTTCTGATTCACTCCTGTTCGGCTTTCATCCACTAAGCACTACATCGCCCGCGAAAAGCATACACCATGGGATGTCCCCTTGTATGTCCCTTGTGACCTTATCCATCACTAAGGCAAACAAATAAGGGTTCAAAGCTGACCCTTGATGTAGTCCTATTCTAATCGAGAAGTCATCCGTGTCTCCATCACTTGTTCGAACTCTAGTCACAACATTGTTGTACATGTCCTTAATGAGCCCGACGTACTTCGTTGGGACTTTATGTTTGTCCAAAGCCCACCATATAACATTTCTTGGTATTTTATCATAAGCCTTCTCCAAGTCAATAAAAACCATGTGTAGGTCCTTCTTCTTCTCCCTATATTGCTCTATAACTTGTCTTATTAAGAAAATGGCTTCCATGGTTGACCTTCCGGGCATGAAGCCAAATTGGTTCATAGAGACCCGCGTTATTGCTCTCAAGCGATGCTCGATAACTCCCTCCCATAGCTTCATAGTATGGCTCATCAACTTAATTCCCCGGTAATTAGTACAACTTTGAATATCCACTTTATTCTTGTAGATCGGTACCAATATACTTCTTCTCCACTCGTCAGGCATCTTGTTCGATCGAAAAATATGGTTAAACAGCTTGATTAGCCATACTATAGCTATGTCCCCGAGGCATCTCCACACCTCGATTGGGATACCACCCGGTCCCATCGCCTTACCTCCTTTCATCCTTTTCAACGCCTCTCTGACCTCAGATTCTTGGATTCTCCGCACAAAGCGTCTATTGGTGTCATCAAAAGAGTCATCCAAGTGAAAGGTTGTGTCCGTATTCTCACCATTGAACAATTTGTCAAAATACTCTTGCTATCGATGTTGGATCTCATCCTCCTTCAACAAGAGATGCTCCCTTTCATCTTTAATGCACTTAACTTGGTTGAAGTCCCTTGTCTTTCTCTCACGAACCCTAGCCATCCTATAAATGTCCTTCTCTCCTTCCTTCGTACTCAAACGTTGGTAAAGATCCTCAGACGCTTTACCCTTTGCCACACTTCATGACTCGCTGCGGTCTTCTTTGCCACCTTGTACTTCTCTATGTTGTCCACACTCTGTCATGGTACAAGCTGTATGGCGTCTATAGCACTCTTTCTTCTCCTTAATGACCCTTTGGACTTCCTCGTTCCACCACCAAGTATCTTTAGCCTCGCCTCCACTTCCTTTGGTTACTCCACACCTCTCGAGGCCACCTTCCGAATGTTGGTTGCCATCTTCTCCCACATGTTGTTTATGTCCTCTTCTTCCTTCCAAGAGCCCTCTTTGATAACCCTTTCCCTGAATACCTCTCGGCGTCTCCCCTTCAGGTTTCCACCACTTTGTTCTTTCAATTTTAGCTTGTTTATCCCTACAGGCACGCACTTTTGAAAAACGAAAGTCTGCCACCAAAAGCTTATGTTGAGAAACAACACACTCCCCTGGTATCACCTTGCAACCCAAGCATACTCGTTTGTCCTTTCTTCTTGTGAGGACAAAGTCAATCAGTTAGAGTGTTGTCCGCTCATGAAGGTCACTAGATGAGATTCTCTCTTCTAAAGAACGTGTTGGCTATCATCGGTCAAAAGCTACCGTGAAGTCCGAACTTCCTCCCCTCCCGATTCCTACTACCATACCTAAAACCTCCATGAAGCGCCTCGAAACTGCGCTTGTAGTACCTACATGCCCATTAAGATCTCCTCCTATAAAAGCTTCTCTGGCCCAGGTACAGCTCTAATCAGGCCATCTAAGTCTTCCCAGAGGCTGTCTCTTAGCACTCTCGCCGAGGCCTACTTGGGGGCATACGCACTAATTACGTTCAAGACCATATCACCAATGATAAGCTTGACTAAGATAATCCTATCTCCTTGCCTTCTCACTCCCACCACACTATTCTTGAGGCTCTTATCAATCAAAACTTCTACTCTATTTCTATTCGCAACTGTCCCTGTGTACCAAAGCTTGAAACCTGTATTGTCGACCTCCTTCGCCTTCTGACCCTTCCATTTAGTCTCTTGAACGCATAATATATTTACACGCCTCCTAGTCGCGTAGTCGCGGTATCAACTAATTCTCTTAACTTACCTGTAAGCGACCCTACATTCCAACTGCCTAAACGGATCCTAGTTGGTTCGACTAGCTTTCTTACCCTTCGCACCCGTCGAATCAGATGTGAAGACCCTTGCTCATTTTTCACTACACCCGGGCGTCGATGTAGCGCGCCACTAAGGATGCGATGACCCGATCCTTATCACTTGACATCGTGCCCAGATCGCGACACGGCGCGTCACGGGGGTGACGACCCGGCTCTTGCTCATTTAACACTATACCCGGGTTCCGATATAGCGCGTCGCTAAGAGGGTTATGCCCCAACGATTATCTTTCGGGTTTCATCTCCATTAGAATGGCTAGATTTAACGTTGGCTCGCCACGCCTATCACAACCCTCCTCCTTTACCAGGGCTTGGGACCTGCTATGTTGAGACAACATAGGCGGAGTTATAGCCCTTTAGATACTATTTCAAAATTTTAGAATCGGTACCATTTACCTAGTGTTCTTTTCCATCATTTTTCAGGTGATTGCAGCATTCAGAGATCCAGGATTTTTCAATAGTGTGTTTCCAATGTTGTACGAGGTTTCTAACCAATCTGTCATTTCGAAGACAAAAGGCTCTGCTGGTGCGGGTGAGTCATTATTTTGAATATTTCATTCAGTTAATGACTATTCTTAACAAAACCTTTTGTAATTGAATACAAGAATATCTGATATCTGATGCTCTCTTTTATATCTATAGCTATTTTGTAGGATAACACATTTTTTAGTTCTGAGGACCTTTTCAAGAATAGCTTGAAGCTTGATGAGGCACTTCCAGAATAATACATTGATACCCTTCGTGTAGCAAAATTTCATTTACAGAGAGGCTTAGGATATAATTTTCAAATTTTGCTCTAGTATGGAATATGATCATTCTAATTTGCCGAATTTGTTATCACTGATTGAATTGTCTTTCTGAATCAATAAGTGAAGCCTCAACTAATCCTGACTTGATCTTACTGTTAATAAATTGAACTGAAATACAACCATTATAAAATTCCTGGTTAAATGTATGATATATTAGGCATGCAATCATCTTATATAATCTATCTCTATTGTATCTCCAAATACTTCTTTCACTCCTTCAAAATTTATGTATGGGTTCTTTTCTGCAGAACTAGATGAAAGTGAAGGTGCTTCTATTTCTCTGGATAAAGTGCTCAATTGTGCAACATCTTGCATCAGTGTCGCTTTTCCACAGGATATTATCAACCAAAAGAAGAATGTTTTAGAACTAATATTGAATTCTCTCTCACCTGAGGAGAGTTGGCAAGGTATGATATATGGGATCCGTAATCTAATTCTAAACATCTTTTGGATACTTCTGTCTCATGATTGCAAATCATCATAGTAACGCTTATTATTTTTTCATGAACAGTTAAACTATCATCCTTCTTGTGTATCAAAGAGTTGTGCCTGAAATTTCACAGTTCTGGTGATAGTAGCACATGGCCTCAAGACACAGCTTGCTTGGTTCAGGAGGTATATCCTGTAGTTTGTTTGTCTCTATATTCAGCTTCAGGTTGCCGTTGGTTTTCATTGCTTCTGACATATCTTTTCTGTTTAATTTTTTCAGTTATTTCATTTGGTATCACCAAAATTAGTAGACTCCATAAGATTAGTAAAGATTGCTCAGGTAATTTTCTATATGTCTAGTCCTCCTAGCTGATGCTGAAATATATTTGCCTATTTTTTGTTACCATCTCATAACACCTTTACCTGTAGATAATACGTTGTCTTCCTGCTAATGGATAATAATTAACACTCACTTTAATTTAAAATATGTGCCTATAACATGTATTTTTTATGGAATAAAGCATGTAAACATTGTAATATTGCACTTGACAGTTTAAGCATGTTTTAATAGCATTGCCCCTTGATTTAGCAGTGTGTATACTTGTCTATGATTCCATTAATGATGATAAGAAAAGTTGCAATGCCTTTTTCACTCATCGAAGCTGCTTTGGCATTTTGGCAATGTTTTCTGTCAAATTTACTTGTCATGTGTCAAACAAGTAACTTCAAACCAATTATTGGAAAACTGCATAAGTGCTTTATGTAAGGAGCAAGATTATGTTTTCAGATAAATCACTCAGGTGACCATTAGGGTCCACTCTATTTCTTTAAGATTCAAATATACATTTGTCTCATTGTTTAACTACCTTTTTTAATCTGCTCAGTTCTTAATTAAATGCCCCTGGCATATAATAAATCATGGGGGCTGGCAGATCTTAATTAATTAGCCCTGACATGTAATAAATCATGGATGCTAAGTTAGTTTGGTTTTCCTGTTCGCTGGTCAGATGTCATGGCTGCTACCAGTGAAATTACTGGAATAAGTGCTGGCCAACAGAACCCTAGTGTTCCTGTTTCACAATACTTACATCTGTCATACATGATAACACGAATGGTGCAAAGGTTGTCTGGAATTGCCATAAGTAGTCCACAATATGAGGTTACATCCATGTAAATACTAAATAGTAAAACAGACCCATGGCTGTTTCTTAAACCAGTGGTTTTAGAAGCTGTTGCTGAGTTTGCCATTAGCCTTTAGTGTCCAGACCAAACCTTGTTCCTCATGAGTCACGACTTATCACCAATTTGCAGGTTCACATTGCTGCTTCGGAATGTGTTCTTGATTTGAGCAAACTGTACAGAGACTTCCCGTTGTTGGACAGAACAGAGGCCAAGTTCGAGGATGAACTTACAGAGCTCTGCGAGTCTGAAAAAAGTGAACAAGCAAAGACAATTCTGAAGGAATGCCTAGCCATCCTTAAAACTCTCCCTGGAGTAACCATGACGACAGATTAAAAACCAGCACAGGGAACATGTAAAGTTCTTGTGGTGATTGTATATTCATTCCGATATATGCATATAGTACAGAATATGGCGAAGCTCTCCCTCCATTTTATGTCAGAGGGCAGGGCAAGAAAAGGCACATGCTTCGATTAGTTTGCTCATTTGTTGCCTAGATCCTTAACCGTGATATTCTGATACATGTGCGTGTTTTGCTCATTTGTTGCCTAGATCCTTAACCGTGATATTCTGATACGTGTGCGTGTAAGAAACACGGGATTGCCCGGCAGCAAGAAACTGTTGCTGCAGCATTTCGCAGTTGTGCCGTCCATCCAATATAACGGTAAGATACCAAAGATCAGATTTTTGAAAATGTTATTTTCCGTCAGCACAACCAATGAGGCCCCCACATTGCTGGTGAAGTATGTAGACTGTCCCAAACCTTTATTACTCGTTTCTGCTAACACAATTTGCGTCCAGGAAAACCCAGATTATTCAGAATTATCCAACAGCAGGTACAACTGTGTGAATCAAATGTTTTCAGAGTATGTCCACGAAATTGCAAACTAAAGTAAAAACTTTAGGGACATTCATATGACTCGTCTGTATATATAAGTAAAAAAAAACGTGTGATAACACAAACTGATACATTTCTCTTCGGAGTGCTTGAAAAGGTTTTCAGCGACTCAGGTAGTTAGCTTGCGCAGAGCAGTCGCAGTCTTGGAACCCAGTGGCCTGCCCAATTCCTTGGAAATGTAATCACCAGCCTCCATGAGCTTGTTGAGGTCGACGTTGGTCTTTATCCCCAGGCCATGGAGCATGTACACAACATCCTCTGTGGCAACATTGCCAGTGGCGCCCTTTGCATATGGGCAGCCTCCAAGGCCTGACACTGATGAGTCCACTACGTTGATCCCCATCTGACAAAACAAGAAATGTGCGTGTTAGGCTAAGGTGTGATTTCTGTGAATGTCGTGGACCAATAAAAAAAAACTTGATCTGCGGGGGTAAGACGGCCCCCGGGCATTGCCTGGTAGAGAAGATCTCTCAAGCAGATCAAGAAAATCTCCGAACCTCCGCCCCTGCACCCTTACACGGGACCGTTCACCACGTGAGATGGTTCGGTATCACCGTGCTTTGAGTGAGTCGGACGAGGGGATTTTTTTACCCAGGCCACGTAAATCCGCTCCCGCTGGGAGTCGAACCCGGGTCGCTGGGGTGCCATGCCATTTCATCCAAGAGTCCGTTGGCATGTCGTGGACCAATGAAGAGACAAAAAGTTATCGTTGCTTACTTGAAGGGAGACAAGGATGTTGGCGAGGGCTTGCCCATATGTATCATGAAAATGAACAGCAATCTTGTCTAGTGGAACAAACGCCATGACAGCTTGAAGCATAGCAACCACGCTACCTGAAACAGAGATGTTGCAGTTAGTAGTTACTTTAGTCAGTCTCCACATACTGTTAGTAAACTTAGGCAGGGAGAACAGTACCTGGTGTCCCAACACCAGTTGTGTCGCCAAGTGAAATCTCCGAGCAGCCCATGTTGTAAAGCTCCTTAGCTACATATGCCACTTTCGATGGATCGATTGCGCCTTCAACAGGGCAACCAATCACACATGAAACATACCTAACATGAACAGATGAAACAAGATTCAGACCACATCACCGCTGAAACGCCTCAGTCACCCAACTCGTCAATTATCAGACTTAAAGAGGTTAAAAGTTGATTAACTTACCCCCGGATAGTTAGTCCATGTTTCTTGGCAGCTTCTGTAACATCACAGTACCGAACAAGGCTTTCCTCAATGGTACAGTTAATGTTCGACTTAGAGAAGGATTCAGAGGCGGATGCAAAAACCGCAATTTCTTTTGCACCAGCTGCAATAGCAGCCTCAAATCCCTGTAAAACACTCAATTCATTAGTACAGATCACATCTTGTAGTAGCAAATATGTACATTTCTTAGAGGAAATGAAATGATGTCAGAACTTACTCTGAGGTTAGGGGTTAACACCGGATACCGCACACCTGGCTCCTGCTGGATACCTTTCAGGACCTCCTTTGCATCAGCTAGCTGCAGTTTCCAGACAGAGCTAGATAAGAACTTAACGACCTTTTTCATTGAAACATAAAACATGCCATTATCGTAGTCACTAACTAACTGCATCACCTGCGGCACCCATTTTGGGGATACAAAACTTGTGGCTTCGACTACTGACAGACCTGCACCGACTAACTTGTGTATCAGTTGGATCTTTACAGATGTTGGAACATTGCCCTTTTCATTTTGCAGGCCATCCCGTGGTCCAACCTCAACTATCTTCACAAACCTTGGCAGTTCCCACATAACCTGAGAGGACAGATTGTTGTGGATTAAAAGAAAGCGTTGTGGTGCTAATATCGTCATTGTTGTAGTTTTTAAATGCTATATACTCTAAATAGTACTAGATTGGAAGATTATGACTAGGTAAGTAAAGCAAAGGCTGAGCTGATGGACAAAACTGATTATCAGGTCAGTCCTAATTATATATGTGTGGTTGAAAATACCTTCCGAGGAAGATCTCTAAGCTCCACCGCATCACATGATGAATCGGCTTGACGGCATTGCGGATGCCAGGGATAGGAGTTGCCATGGAAGGGGCTACCATTGCAGGAGTTGCTGTATCTGAAAGCGAGCAAACAATGCAAACTTCAAACGATCCATTCACTGAACAAAAACCCATTTCAAGAAAAGCATTCGACGAAACAACACTGATCACCCATCTGACTTGAGTAAACGAATGCCATTCTGCACATCAACTGCTCATATTCATACGCCTACACTTACTTGCCAGTGCTGTGGTCATCGGCTGGTGACCTGCGAGCTGTCGGCGACAAGAACCTCCCGAGCCTGTTAATACTCAACTTGGGCAGGTCTCCGAGACCGAGTGGCTCCTCGAGGCTCGACATCCTTCCTAGAAACAGAAACAGAAAAATCCACGCAACTGTAAGCTGTGCGTCTGCACCGCAAACTGAATTTCACGCAACTGTAGACTGTACTGCTCTGCCATTGAAGTTTATCCTAGAGTTGCAGAAACAAGTAATTTTACGCCGGGATCTACACAATCTGAGCATGGAAATGTTGGTATTAACGAAGCTCCGGGCACAAATTAAGTAAGTAAAGCCGAGGAATTTCATTAAGAGGAGGAGGAGGGTATCTCCACTTCTCACCCACTACCCGTTTGAGCAAGTCGCCTCGATCGTACGATAGAAGTTGGCCTTGGTGAATCGATTTTATTTCGTCGATGGTGATCAGTTGCAGTATGAAACAGAACGAAACAACTGAAGAAGGGAAGGGGGAAAAAAAACCAGAGCCAAGCACGAACAAGCAAGCAACGAAGCTGCTGCGACGAACTTGCGTAGTACCTCGACGATCGGCCGGTCAGTCGATGGGTCGGTCGATGAGCACGAAGCTCGTTCCCTCGCTCACTGGATCCGGTGGACGGTCGGGAGGGGGGAAAAAAGGGCAAGACGTGCGGAGTCAGGCAGGGAGGCACCGAACCCGAGGAAGCTAATAAAAAAAATTCAGGGGGCGCTCGGTTTTGCTGGAATCGGAAGCGACCGGCGGCGGCTCTCGCTCTCTCTCGTTTGGTGGATCAGGCGGGCGGAGATGGGGAGGGCGCAGCTGCTTTGCTTTGCTTTGCTT